CAACGGTCAAGGAATGTATGGGAACCGTTTTAGTTTTCCCCAACAGTCTCCAGGTCATTCGTTTTTCTGAGTGCTTCAAAACGTGATTTTTCAGAGGGTCAGATTCCCGCCTGAGGTTCATGTTTTGAGATGCTCTTTGCAGGAAGCCCATTCTTTTTAGCTATTTACATGCAGTAGGACCTTGCAGTCTTGGGTCCCTGCTGGCTTCTACATTGTCTGAACGTACAGCCTGGATTATTCCCAGCCTTTCCCTTAGCTAGCTCATCTGCACCCCTTGTTCTAGGCACAAAGCTCTCCTAGGCAGCAGACACAGCCTAGTAATAGTGTGATAGTGTAGTAGTAATAGCCCATTCTTTTTAGCTATTTACATGCAGTAGGACCTTGCAGTCTTGGGTCCCTGCTGGCTTCTACATTGTCTGAACGTACAGCCTGGATTATTCCCAGCCTTTCCCTTAGCTAGCTCATCTGCACCCCTTGTTCTAGGCACAAAGCTCTCCTAGGCAGCAGACACAGCCTAGTAATAGTGTGATAGTGTAGTAGTAATAACAGTAAACTAAACTATTACAGTATTAGTAAATGCAGTATTATATAGAGTATATCATGTAAACAGTAAACTATTACAGTATTAGTAAATGCAGTATTATATATAGTATATCATGTAAATAGTAAACTATTACAGTATTAGTAAGTTAACACTGTGAAGTATTTTCTGACCCTAAAGCTGACTGGCACAGTCTGGCAACATCCCAGCCTTCAACACAAGGTGATTAGGTGATTTTATCCAAAACCACTTTTGGGAAGGGTGCCTGGGCTTGTGCTAAGTTGTGTGGAAAATAATCAGGTATTTCTATGACTGGTATAGTTGAACAAGGCCAAAGATAAGCCAGGGACTTATTGTTAGCTTACAGTCCTACCTATAGCATGGTTAACCAAATTCAAGTACTTGGGCACATGCCCTTGCCTTACACTAAGCAACTTACTAGAGAGACAGTGCCAGGAAGTTAAAACTCACACACGTGCAGGAAAATCTTAAACCATTTCCTCTGCCTTTCCATACACCAAGGAGCACACAGAAGTCAAGAAAACAGCTATAAAGACGACTCTAAAAGACTTATTAACCATTAAGCTGCAAGAAATGTGCAAGGCAAGGTACCAAGACTTATTAACCATTAAGCTGCAAATGTGCAAGGCAAGGTACTGCAGTCTCAGCAAAAAGACAAGGCAACTGAAAAAGGACAGAGAGACTGGAAGCAAATCTCAGTGATTACGTGGAGAACAGGCAGGTACATGGCAGAAGCATTCTGTACAAGTGCAGTTAAAGCAAGAAATTCCAATGCCAAAGTAGCGCATTCGGACAGGTAAGTATACAAAAAAGTCTTAAGTACAATGCATGCAACATCAAAACAGTTTAAAAAAAAAGCCCAAATTGTCAGAAATTTCTGTGGACAGCACTGAACAATCTTTAGGCACTCTAAACCTGCACAAAGTTAACAGAAAAAGGGAAGGCTAGGATAAACAGATGAAGTTCATTTCCAGGTCAAACTACTGACATACATACTGGCTTTGAGAACAAGATCGGTGGCCTGCTGCTGTAAGCGCTCTCTAGCAGCTGCTAGCTCACTTTCCACTTCTTTGTGTTTGCTCAACAATGACATCTCCTCCTCCTTCACATCATCTAGCTGCTTCTGAAGAACCTAGAGGAAGCACAGTATAATGTCTGTCAGCATTATACACCATCATGTTTAAATTTAAATGAGCATTAGGTTAAAATATACAGAAAAGACCTTTCGGTAAACAGGTTTCATTCATACAAATGCTGAAATCTTGTAATATTACCATCACATTAATTTTGTGTTTTTCCAGAAGTATTGTTGAAGCACTACAGGCTACTGGATATACGGCACAACAACAATACCTAAGAGAAATGTGACAATATTCAAAAAGGTGTATGAAAAAAAAAGAATAGTAACATGGTCCACAGAGTCTGGGGGCCAATTTGAGAAACCTGGTTTCTGGTATCTCAGAGCTCTTCAAACTGAAGAATACATTATATGTTCACGGCAGCTTTCAATGTCCTTAATCGCAACTCTGACTAGTATTGACGCAAATTAAGCTGCACATGCATCTACACAATGCGAGAGCTAGGCAATTAGATAAATCAAACATATTATGCTTTAAGTCTGATGCATGCATCCACAAGATCAGCTCTGGGGTAGTTTGATGATGGTGTGTTCCCAGCCATGCAGGAAGGAAAAGGGCATCTTGTTCTGTTTTAAAAAGAAAGCTAGATTTCTCATAATTCAAGTCACTGGAATAGTAAAATGGTCATTTTAGAAACTAAAGCAGGGAACAGAACTGGGGAAAACACTGGGCAAGAGGTGTAATGGAACAGTAACACCAGAAGTGGTGAGATTATGCCTTTGATGACCTCGTCCATGACACTCGGAGTAGGAACTGACTTTATAGTTTGCTTCGAATACTGTCCCAGACTCCTCCCCTTCTTTGGAACCAAGAGGCTACAGCCTTTACACAAGAAGGCAGGATAGTCCAAAAAGATGGGCTGGAATTAGACTGTAAGTGGGAGAAGCTCATGGCCCATCTCAGCTCTACCCAAAGATGTTTCCAAAATTACTATGGACCATCACATTTAAGGTACTTCTGGCTTTGAAACTTGAGAGTAACTACAAATGCAAAAGACAGATACATAAGCTTACACGCAGAGATTTCTGTTCTCCAGGCCTCAGCACAGCTACCAAAACCCACCAGAACTTCACAGAATCTTTTCCTTCAAGCCCAGCACAGTCAGTCCTGGGTTTTTTCTGACCAGAAAAAAAATCAGTCTTTGTATTTCTGGGATGTCTTGTCCTTCTTTAGGGACAAGAAATTTTAGTATCTTAATAACACTGTGTTGTGATTTCATCCTGGTAGGCAGTTAAGCAGCATACAGTTGCTCACTCACTCTCCCACAGTGTGATGGGGTTGAGACTCAGAAGGATAGAAGTGAGAAAACTCATGGGTTGAGATAAAGGCACTTTAATAGGTGAAGCAAGCGCCATGCACATAAGCAAAGCAGAATAAGGAATTCATTCATTACTGCCCACCGGCAGGCATGTGTTTATTCATCTCCAGGAAAGCAGGGCTCCATCACACATAACATTTACTTGGGAGGACAAGTACCCCAACTCTGAGCACCCCCCTTTCTCCTTCTTCCCCCAGCTTTATATTCTGAACATGATGTCATATGGCATGGAATATCCTCTCCAGGCCTCAGCACAGCTACCAAAACCCACCAGAACTTCACAGAATCTTTTCCTTCAAGCCCAGCACAGTCAGTCCTGGGTTTTTTCTGACCAGAAAAAAAAATCAGTCTTTGTATTTCTGGGATGTCTTGTCCTTCTTTAGGGACAAGAAATTTTAGTATCTTAATAACACTGTGTTGTGATTTCATCCTGGTAGGCAGTTAAGCAGCATACAGTTGCTCACTCACTCTCCCACAGTGTGATGGGGTTGAGACTCAGAAGGATAGAAGTGAGAAAACTCATGGGTTGAGATAAAGGCACTTTAATAGGTGAAGCAAGCGCCATGCACATAAGCAAAGCAGAATAAGGAATTCATTCATTACTGCCCACCGGCAGGCATGTGTTTATTCATCTCCAGGAAAGCAGGGCTCCATCACACATAACATTTACTTGGGAGGACAAGTACCCCAACTCTGAGCACCCCCCTTTCTCCTTCTTCCCCCAGCTTTATATTCTGAACATGATGTCATATGGCATGGAATATCCCTTTGGTCAGTTGAGGTCAACTGTCTCGGATGCTTCCCCTCCCAACTCCTTGTACACCCCCAGCCCACTCACTGTTGGGGAGGTGTGAGGAGCAGAAAAGGCCTTGGCTCTGTGTAAGCACTGCTCAGCAGTAGCAAAAACATCTCTGTGTTATCAACACTGTTTCCAGCACAGATCCAAAACAGAACCCTATACCAGCTACTGTGAAGAAAATTAACTCTAGTCCAGCCAAAACCAGCACACACTGAACATGTGTGCAGTATTTCAGTTATTGCTTGTGAAAACATCACTGAAGATGTCATAACAAAGTTAAAACATTCCCAAAATTGTGTTTTTCTTGCCCCCACAAGGCCACTTTTCTCAACACTCAACATCCTTAGGCAAGATAGTCACTAATGACCTCTACAAGCAAGACTGCACTGAAGACAGAAGATTCATTGTATTTATAGTGTCAGGTGTTTGACATTCCTGTAAAATACATTTCTGCAAGAAACAGTACGGTCTAGATAAGGAGTTTCACAACTTCTCTAAGAGGAATTCCAGTTTGTCAGCATATCATCTCAAATGGAACCAGTCACCAACACCCTCCCTTCCCTCTCTGAATCTATTTTTTTGGAGGGAAGGATGTTTATGTGGAGACCTGATGCAAAGATACTGCTTAGCTGCTTCCTCCTTCCCACCCCTTTGGAGAAAGAGGAATAGGGGTTGCTTTGGGTTTTTTGTTCATTAAGTGGCAAAAGTTTTGATTATTCTATGGATTACACTACACTCTGGATACTACACCTAGAACAACCAAGTTCTGTTCATGAACAGCTGAAAGGAAAGAGACCAAAACCTTCCCCTGAGTAGAGGCTTCTAGATTCTACTGGAATATAAAGTAGTATTAATTCAGACTGGGAAAATTAGACACAAAAAATAAAGTTTAAAATATAAATAAAATTTAAAAAATACAAGTAGATTATAATCAAGTACTAGTGACAGAAAATTGTTTACATGTTCCAATTACCTCAACCTACTAGCCTCATCGTTTTTTTGAAAGAAAATTCACAGTCTTGGGAACAACATATGAACAGTCTCACCTGAACATTGTTTTCTGCTGTACCAAGAGCCACCTGAAGTTTTTGGCATTTTTCCCGTAGACTGGCAGCTTCATCCTGGACCATTTGCAATTCAGTTTTAAGCTTTCCCAGATTCTTCCGTAAAACACTTTCCTGGTTTTGAAATTCTTTTCTTAGCTCTACTTCTTTCTCTTTGCAAGCATGCAGACTTTCTGCTGTAAAAAGCTGAGACCTTTTCAAAGAATCAAGTTCATGTTCATAGAAGGACTGTGCTTTGCTGAGTTTGCCTTCATAGTCCTCAATGAGTTTTTTTCTTTCCAGCCTTAACTCTTCAACTTTATTGTTCAAGTCTTCCAGCTCCAGTCTATGCAATTCCTCCAGTTTTTCTTGCCCCTTACTCAAAGTAGCATTCTGATTCTGCTGAGTCTTGAGAAGTTCTTGAATCTCAAGCCTGTGGGCAGCTCGCAAGTCTTCCAGAGCTGTACGCTTGTCCTTCTCATACTGCACTTGCAACTGTATGAAACTTCGTAGCCTTTCCTCAAATTTCTTTCTGATCTCTTCTACTTCTCTTGACATGGTCACTACACGTTGGACATGCTGAGCTTCTGCACAAAGCTGCATATCTTCCACTCTATCCTTATAGGCTTCAAATTCCGTCAAGGCCTGGTGTTTCATCTTTTTATGATCTTCCAGTGACTCTTCTAAAACTTGGATCTTTCTCTTGAGATCCATTTCTTCTGCAACTTTACTTTTATACTGCAAGATCTTCTCTCTGGTCTCTGCAAGAATTTGTTGAATTTCTTCTTCGTGAGCATCCTTAAGGGCTTGGATAGCAGCTTCATGTTCATCGTTTTTAGTGTTCAAAGCATATATTACCTACAAACATGAAATAATACTGTGTTACAGAACAGGCATTTGAGTTTCCTGTTAAAATCATAAGAAAAATCACCCATGCACTCTGAAAGTTACTTTGGCAACCTGGCAGGTTTTCATGATACAAATAAGCACCAAATGTTCTTATGAATATGACTACATAATCGCTGTATCAGTCATTACAAATCATACACATTTTGTAGAATGGTTTTGCTATACTTTTTAACCTATAATTTTGCTGATGAACGTTCTGCCTTTATATGCATATTGTTGCTGTAAATACTACTGGAGAAAAGCACATTCAACACATGGGAAAAAGAAGTTTATTTATTTAAAAGAATAGCCTAAAAAGAAATTTGAACAGAGGTTCAAAGAGAACAACACACAGAGTATACATTACAACACCAAATAAAATTGGAACAAAATCCAAATCTCAAATTCCTCCTTTCCAAATGTAAAACTACTTTTAAATACTGCCCTCAGGGCCAGGAAATACAAAGAAAGGTCCTTCTTAACAGATGTCCAGACACTATATTCTAGATTTTATTGTCTGAACACTCACCATTCTGCTACTTGTGCACCTTTTGTTACTTAAAAGGGTAGGCTTTAGATAGCAAAACAAAAAGTTCTGAAACAGTATCAGATGAAAAGGAAAAACTAAACAGCCTCACTCATCTTTATATAGCAAGGAAATAACTTAAGGAAAAAAAGCCACCATTTTAACTTACATTATTGTAACTCAACTTTTCTAACATATGTACATGTTATTTAATAAAAGAAGGAAAAAAAGAGCTCTTCCATGGTTTTGGAAACCATTCTTATTACAGCTAATACCTCTCCAGGCAGCAGGTAGACTTCTGGCTTTGTTCCTCCCTAGAAAAAATAGTTCTTCCTACTGCAAAAGAGCTTCATGGTTCAGAGACTCAAAAACCCCTCACAATACATTTGCAAAAAGTGACAACAAACCCACATGCAATTCCATTAGCAGAACCACAACTGTCATTGCCATGTCCTTCACCCAAGATTTCAGGCTTTTATACTCTCACTGTCTTTGGTGATACCAACAGTACCTTCTGACAACAAAGCTTCCACCTCCCTCCTGCCACCAACATACAGTCTCAGCTATTAGATCACAAAGGTTAGTTTCCCTGTCGTTTAAACAGTGCCTAGTGCTCAACTTCCTTGTTCATATCCAAAAAACTTTGAATATTGATTTTTTTAAATGTACATGCAGTATCTTGCACAAAGAGGCCTTAGTTTTGGTTAGAAAAGCTAGACAAAGTAGTTTGAAAGGTATTAAAAATATCACACATGATCAAGTTATAGTAAGTATTTGCAGAACACTAGGTCAAATCCCATGATCAAAACAGTCCTCAACTTCTCTCTCTATGCACAGAAATGCCATAATGTTCTTCCTCACGTCAGGTAGTGCTCCAGTCTCAGGTTATGCAGCACTACAATCTGCAGAAAGTATAAATCATATAGTATTTTCAAGGGTATTATGCTTTCACAATGGGACCCTCATCGAAAATTCCAAGTGAAAATTAGGCCTATATGCAATGCTGGATTCAGAAGGGCATCTTTGAATTCTAATCATCCACTTATTTCATATGAAAAACACTGAATATCTACAAATTCCCTAAGCACCATTCATTCCCTAAATGAAGGAAATGAGTGTCTTGTGGAAAAATGAAAAAAATAAAATAAGATGCATGCAACTGCATGTTCTATCATATGTTCTTCAGCAGCCTGAATTCCAGCTCTATCAAATTACTGTATTTTAAATCTCAGTATTTTTAAATTAATGGAATAGCTCTACCAGATTTTATCTTTGAGAATCTGACACACTTCATTAGCATAGGAACATAGAAGAAAAGAAGTCCGTACCAACTGAAGCAAAAGCAACCTAACCGCATTTCAATGAAGTGAAAACAAAGTGAAATACATTGGAACAAATTAATACAGCTAAAGTTCTAGCCAAAATAAACAGTTCCTGTTCAAGTAAGTTTCTAAAAACTGAAAGACAGTAAGGTTGCAAAAGTTGGAGGTGGGCAGATAAAACAAGTTTTGCACTCTATTTTTAAATGAGGGGATGAGCCATTCCCTAAGCATGCTTGCAAGTACTTTAAAAATACCAGTAGCTTTTTCAGTGCAACAGCATATTACTAAGAAACATAAACTTCTCATTTGAGTAACTCTTACTTTTTCCAGCTCCACTCTAAGCACATCATACACATTGCAGTTCACATCAGATGACAGGAAAAAAAAAATTAAATTGTGCTTTACAGTATTTTCAGTTAGCCTGTCATTCCAGAGGTACAGACAGGCAGAACCATACTCTCCAAGAATACGGAGATTGCCAGATAAAGGTCTTAATACCTTTTATACAAAACAGTAACATAATTATTAATAGGAATCTACAGAAATACTATGTGCCCTTCAGACCAAGTCTGAAGAACTACCATGAATAAGTTAGAAACAGTAAGAGTAATAACCTTTTTTTATCCCAAGAATTGAGTATTGGAGTGTTTAGTTATATGTGGTAAGGTTAAGCAAGGCTGTTAAGCTTAGCACCGGTGTCCTGAACTACATAGAATACAACCAACCACCAGCATTCAACACTGCAGCTGAAAGATAGAAGTTTTACTATTTGGCTGAGAAATATTTTTGACTCCAAACCAGATGTTATGGCTTGGAGAGCTGACCAACTCTTGCATGGTCAGCTGCACTTGGTCATCCACTCCTGCCAGCAATTCAGTCACGATGGAATGCTTTTCTAATTAAAAATGTGTAATTCACCCTAATACTAGTGCTAAGTGCCAAATATATTTTGCAGCATAGAAAATATCTCCAAAAATATGTGGTTCATTCTCTCTAATTTTACACGGAAATAGGAACTAATACATACAAGAAAAAAAAATCAAAACAAAAACATCACCACACATCTTACACAAACATCAATGTCATGTCTCTAGTAAACCTAGATTTTAGCCTTAGCATGTTGGTCCCTGGGTCAGAGCACCACAAGCAGCCTAGTTCAGGTGCACTGTCTTGTTCCCAGTGTTGCTGGGGTGCTGCTGCCTGTGAGCACTGGTCCTCTCTGTACAATACAGCCCTCAGAATGCTTTCAGTCGAGACAAAAGCTCAGGTGCAAAGCAAGCAGATATGATGTCACACAAATAAGACATACAGATGAAATGGGAAGAGCTATTTGAAGCTAACAGCGTAGGACTAGGAGACATGGGCTGGATGTTCAGCTGAACATTAGCCATTGACCAGAAGTAATGTCTAAGATGCCCACTAAAGAACACTGCAGATGGAGAGCCTACTGGCCAGATTCAATTTAAATAATTTTCAGGAGTAAAATATACCAGAATTACCTGCACAATCTTGACCCAGAACAGTTTTTACAGGAGGGAAAAGTAGACTTGAAGATGTTGACAGGAATATGGGAAGCAGCTGGATACAGGAAAAGTGTGCCTCTCTACTATAAACCAAATTATACAGGACCATTTCCCCAGCTAGAGGGGAGACAACACCAGTACTGCTTTGTGCAACCTGGCATGTAACACCCCCGTTTGGTTACTACATGACATCTGTTTCTGAGGGAAACGCTCAGCTGTTCTACACTTGCACTGCTGGCTCTAATGGAGTTACGTAAGGGCTCAGCAATCCAGTTCTGCACACTCATATTATGCTGTTCTCTACCACAGCTGCGTCTAAACAATGTATTACCTGTGTGATTAACAGGCATTTAGGTTCTGTTCACCATAAGTTTACTTTCAGTGCCAAAGTGTAAAACTGACTTGCAGAGTAAGAATAGAATTTAAAGTAAGTTTAAAGCTGACTGTGACATTAAAAATATTTTTGCGATGACAGATCCCAATACAGCTCAAGAACACATTGCAGAAAGACTGTTATGAAAGAAGAAAAAGGTGTTCAGCTTCAAAAGTTACTCAGAATGGGAGCAAATACCAGTAGAAAATAGTTTTAAGTGTTTTATAGAGTCTCCTTGGAAATAGTACTTATTTTTCAACTCGGCCAATACCTGTGAATGAAGCTAAGTAGTCCTAAACCACTTACTTCTTTAATTGCCAACGAGAGCTTTGATACACAAACTATCAAAATACAGCTGTTCTTTGCAAAGCTCCTCAGACTACTTCAAAGCATGACTTAAAAATTATTAGATTCTCACATCATCATTGTTTCAGAACTACATTACAGAAAAAAATGCAGACACAGTATTTCCATCTGCTTCAGTTACCTGCTAGCCATAGTAAGTTGCTCCTTTCCTTTTTGCAGCTTCTGTATTTTGTATCATCAAATTAATGGTCATTCAAGCTACAGTACATGAAGCTGGATTTCTTTTTTTTTCCAGACTTAATCTCATTCAGAAATATCCTTCCCTTCCTCCCTCTCTGCATTTATATATTTCTTAAAGGAAAACATACTTACTAATCCACCATTGTATACTTTTTTAATTTTCTTAATAAAAAGCAATTCATATTTCTCTGTGAAAGAAAGTCCACATAAGACGACAAAACCAGTCTTTTGATACAAAATATGACACATAGCACTTAAAAAGTGAGTTTTCTTCAGTGGAACCAAACAGCTTAAAGGATGGCATTCACTGATACAGAAGTGACAAGAGCCTAAAACGATTAATAGAAGTTGAAATTTTCTAAAAAATTATTTCACAACAAATCCATCACACATACAGATTCTTAATTTAGAGTGAAAAAATCATTGATATAAAAGGAGTAAGATTAGTCAGCTGACTCCATTTATTGTCTGAAAGCAAATCTTAAGTTCTTCTACTTTGTTCTAAAATTAATCCTTTCTTTGAAAGGGGCATTACAAAAACGTCTAAAAGAGTCAGTATCATTTATGTCACTGTAATTGCTATTTTAAGTCTCCTATTTTTTTGGCTACACTTGCTTAAGTACAGGCTGGGTGGAGAGTGG